AAAATGAGGAGCTAGTAGACCTAGTGTTACTAGAGAGGGCATAACCGATTTTGAGTGCTAGAAGTATTCTCTCAAGTTATTCCAAGTCTTGTGGTGTTGTGTGAAGCATTTGAGGCACAACATTTAGGGTGCTAGGCTCACAAAGTCTTGAAGGAATCCAAGCAACAACAAGGTATGTATTTCTACTAGATTTTATGTTTTATGTAATCCCCATGCCATGCTAGTTAGGAAATAACCTTGAAAAGAAATTTGCATGTATATAGAGAAAACATAGATTCAAGGTTATTAGGGTTGCATGTACACTTAGGAAGTGTTAGAATGCTTAAAACCCATCATAGAGATCCGACAATTCTTAGGCCTCGCTGGTTACTACCGGAGATTCATTCAAAACTTCTCCAAGATAACTAAACCACTCACCTCGCTGACACAGAAAAGCGTGGTGTTTAAGTGGGAGGACAAACAAGAAGCTGCTTTCAAACGTTTAAAACAAGCCCTATGCAGCGCACGATCTTGTCCCTCCCTGAAGGAACGAAAGACTTCATAGTTTATTGTGATGCTTCAAATCAAGGTCTCGGATGCGTACTCATGCAAAGAGGAAAGGTCATCGCTTATGCTTCGAGACAACTCAAGACGCATGAGGTTAACTACACCACTCACGACCTCGAGTTAGGAGCAGTATTGTTTGCCCTAAAGATCTGGAGACACTACCTCTACGGCACCAAGTGCACGACTTTCACCGATCACAAGAGCCTTCAACACATCCTCAACCAGAAAGAACTCAACATGAGGTAAAGACGATGGGTAGAACTGCTAAATGACTACGAGTGCGAGATTCGCTATCACCCGGGAAATGTAGTGGCAAATGCCTTAAGCAGGAAAGAATACTCGGGCCGTCGAGTAAAGTCGTTAACAATAACAATCCATTCACACTTATCCACACAAATCAAAGATGCCCAGCTGGAGGCTTTGAAACCAGAGAATGTGGCAAACGAGGCATTAAGAGGAATGGATAAGAACCTAGAAGCCAGGACGACGGAGCACGTTATCTCGTGAACCGAATTTGGACACCAAAGTTCGGTGGGTTCAGGGACGTCGTCATGAACGAGGCACAACAAAACTCGATACTCCGTACATCCCGGTTCAGACAAGATGTACCTAGATTTGAAGAAACACTACTGGTGGCCGAACATGAAAGCCGAAATCGCTACCTACGTGAGCAAGTGTTTGACTTGCGCCAAAGTAAAGGTAGAGTACCAAAAACCTTCGGGTCTACTTCACCAACCGGTGATACCCGAATGGAAGTGGGAGCGAATAACCATGGACTTCATAACCAAATTACCCAAAACAGCAGGTGGTCTTGACACCATTTGGGTGATCGTTGATAGACTGACCAAGTCCGCGCACTTCTTACCAATGAAAGAGACCGACAAGATGGAAAAACTGACTAGGACGTACATCAAAGAGATTGTGCGACTTCATGGTGTACCGATATCCATTATCTCCGACAGAGATAGTAGATTTACTTCAAGATTCTGGCAATCTTTACAGAAGTCTCTGGGGACCAGGCTAGACATGAGTACAGCCTACCATACACAAACCGACGGGCAGAGCGAAAGAACCATCCAAACCTTGGAGGACATGCTAAGAGCTTGTGTGATTGACTTTAGTAAATCGTGGGATACCCACTTACCACTCATTGAATTTTCATACAACAACAGTTATCACACTAGCATCAAGGTCGCTCCTTTCGAAGCTCTTTATGGACGTAAGTGCAGATCACCACTATGTTGGGCCGAAGTGGGAGATACACAACTAGCAAAGGGGCAAGTCCCTAACAGCACCCTCACTGGCCCTGAAATCATAAGAGAAACAACGGAAAAGATCGTACAAATTCGAGAAAGACTGAAAGCGCCTCGAGATCGACAAAAGAGCTACGCGGATAAGCGACGCAAACCCTTGGAATTCCAGGTTGGTGACCGAGTACTACTAAAGGTCTCACCGTGGAAAGGGATGATACGTTTTGGTAAACGTGGGAAACTAAACCCAAGATACATCGGGCCATTCGAAATCCTTGCCAGGATTGGCCCAGTGGCGTACAAACTTCAACTGCCACAAGAACTTAACAACGTACACCCGACTTTTCATGTATCAAACTTAAAGAAGTGTCTGTCCGACGAGACTCTCGTAATACCCCTCGACGAAATTGAAACCAATGATAGTCTCCACTTCGTAGAAGAACAGGTCGAAATCATGGATCGGGAAATCAAAAGAACGAAACAAAGTCGCATCCCTTTTGTGAAGGTCCGTTGGAACGCTAAACGAGGACCCGAGTTCACCTGGGAACGCGAAGATCAGATGAAACAAAAATACCCACATCTTTTCCCCAACTATTGAAGTCGTAGTCGAAACTCTAATTTCGGGACGAAATTCCTTTTAATGGGGGGATGATGTGACAACTATCAACTTTGGGTCAAACAAAGTCAACAAGTCAACCAAGTCAACACGACTAGTATTAAGATTTTAGGATAAGCACTATGTTTTCTTAATGTTCCTAATGTACAACTTGCAATTATAATACAAAGTATCTATCTTTTTACCAATTATCAAATATAAACCTTAGTTAGGGTTAGTAACGTAAAAACTTGATAATTCAGCTATATACTATTTAGGAATAAATAATACTCGTAACACAATGTAGTAGGGTTCATAAACCTAACACTAGGGGGCAAAAATCATAGCAAAGGCTACAAACACAAACTTTTGGTAAATTCGTCACCAAATACGACAAAGTTTATACCCGGCTAAACACAAACTTTTAACGAACCAAAATTTGGAAATTCAGCCTAACTTTCATATAATGTATTATTATTTTGATGATAATGCTTGTTATAATAGTTTGAATATTTATAATTCAAATTAAATATTTTATACGTCCTTTATACCATATTTATTTTATAAAACACCACCATTTTTATAAAAATATCAAGAAATTATAAAGGGTTGACTTTTTTTTTTATAGAAAGTCACTAGTTAATACAATGTTCCCCCAACATAAACAAGACACATATATGCACTTATACAAACCCTAAAAGTAGAACACCTTTAATTAAATCCATGTTCCCCGATTACCACACCTCATAACTCATTCCACCCACCCCACCCAACCTCTTTCCCCCTTCCTTCTAATTCACGGCCAAAAAAAGGCCTCTCCTTTATTTATTTTCTTCATTTCAAGCTTCTCCTCCAAGATATTCACTCTTTCACCAAAAGCAAACATATCTCTCTCTCATTTCCTCTCTCTCAAAACTCGAGATTTCAAGGCTGATCTTGAGCTTTTCCTCCATATTTGTTCCTAGATCTTCAAATCTTCAAACATCTTCCAAGTGTTCTTGACTTGGAAACTTCTTTTCTTCATCATCCATCCCAAGAAATCAGTCAAGGTGAATTCATACCCCTACATTTTCATGTTTTCTTCAAGTTTTAGGGGGGGGGGGAATACAAGTTAAAACACCTTAATACAACTTAAACTCATGGTTCAGCTCTTCACAGAAGATTTGGTTCTCATTCACGGACTGTTTCGAACATGTTAAACGTTTTGTCTTTCAAAACTGTTTCACATGCAAATAGTTCAAGTTTTTACCTTTAAAATGACTACTTGCACATCTCTATACGATTTTTCTACAATTTATGGTGATTTTTACGAAACAGCCTATCATTTCAAAAACAATTCCGACCAGTCTGTGAATATAGACATTGTCACACAAGTTAGAGGTTACTAAAAATCATAATAAAAATTATGAACAAACTAGACACAATTTCTAAACTCTCAGAGTTTACGGATTTAGTTTTCGAGTCCGTATGATTTTCCTGTGATTTTTCCAAAACAGTGCAGAAAGGTTAAAAGTTTAGTTAACACTTTACAATTCTATTAACACTTTGTAACATGTTGAGTAAAGTGTAAATCAATAAGTTTCTAAATGTTGATTGTATTTAATGTTAGTTTAACATCCTAAACAGAAGTGGTTATTCATGATAAGTATTGTATACTTTACAAACACATAAAATGAACTATAAGAGGCATAGTTATGGACTTCACATTATAAATACACCCAACGAACTATATTAGGTATAGTTATGGTTTTTCACATTTCAAACACATACATAAATGGGATTCATTTTTCTACTACACATAAAGGGTTTTATATACACACACACGTAAACTCGTTAACGTAAATTGTGAGACATTCTTCATAGTACTCCTAGAGTACGGGTTCAATTCCTGATAGTTATAACCAGGGTCTCTTGTAGGGAGAACGTGATAGTTTGTGTATAGATCTATATTGGGACTGACACCCCACACTCCAGCTGTTCACAACAGTCCGGTCGGCAGGCCAGGAGTGACAAATGTCATATCTTTCCGACGCCTGAAAAACGTCGTAGCAGGTTCAGTTAGTCATAGTATGGTTATAACGACTCACATAGGGAGTTAACGAAACATAAAGTTTACGGGGAAATACTACATTGAAAATGGGTTTTGTTTATTTAAAACTACACATATCATTACTAGTACAAAACTTACACTTACATTCGGTCTTGGGATTTAAGACTACGTAACACTTTTCAAGGAAAACATTGGATTTTCTTGGTTATACAATACTATTACAAGCAAAGGCTTTTCAACTCTACTTTCAAAAGCTTATGAACTCACCAACTTAATTGTTGACACTTTTTTTTTAAAACTACTTGTATTCTCAGGAAATCAGTGAAACAGGTAATCAACAGCTTTTGGGGATGGGACGTTAAGACGTCAAACTTTTCATTTTTGTCATCATAATGTAATTGATTTTGAAACAGGTAATCACATACTATGATGTAACTTTTTCAATTATATTTATGATGGTTTTATTTGCTTTGATCACTATTATACTCGTTGTTATGATACTACACATGAAGTCCGCCACCCCCGGACGTTTCCGCCATCCTTGGTTTGGGGGTGTGACATGCTAGAACAGTGTGAATCCAATCAGCATGATGGTAATTTCAAGGGATTGGTTCTTCTTGCGATGTCGAACCTTTTGTATGAGAGGTAATTTTTTCCTTTCTTAATCCATACGCATTCACAGTGGGAGTATTAGTTCAATTATCTGAGTAGAAGCGTTTAAATTTAAGTCATCCATTTAATCTGTTGCTTCTTTCTATTTACAGAGGCAATTTTCTTGAAGCTATTGAGAACTTGAATACCATTAAGGACCTAAAAGTTTCTTCTTTCCCTCTTAGAGGTAATTCAAAGCAACACCGAATGCATTTCATGTATCCGAGTTTGATCAAGTGTCAAAAATTTACGAAGTTCATTTTTATTTCTATGATTTGGTTTAGTGGCTACTATGGAAGCTCTTGCAGGACTTTATTTGGAATTAGGAGAGGTAAGCACTGTCTGTTTGTGTTGTGCTTCAATCTTCTATCCAAATTCAAATACATAAACTCTCTATGTTCTTTGGGTACGTAAATATCTGGCTATGGTTCCCTATATAGGATGATACTTCTTCAGTGATAGCAGATGTTTGCTTGAATGATTTAGATGCTAATAAAACGGAACTTGATGATGGATTTGGATCATTAAATGCTCGTGCAAGAGCATTAAAAGGGCTTACAGAGCTTGTTCAGGGCAACACAGATTCGTGTATGTCCTTGATTTCTGATAGTTGCATCTTCTTGTTTGTATGATAATCTAATGGAACATTTTCTTTATGCAGCCCAATCTTGTTTTACTGGAGCTGAAGATAACTTGGGAATTGGTAAACTCTTGCAACTCATGCCTCATTTCATATCAAGAACATTGTTATAAAAAAACAATAATGTCTATGTAGGGAATGATGCTTTGTCATATGCTGAGTTCTTGCATACAACACGGGATTTTGAAACTGAAAAAAAGTTGTATGAGAATGTAATCAAAGGGATACCAAAAAATAAAGATTATAGTGATCCATATAACTTGGCTACTGGAAACATGGTATGGGAGGACATTCTTTTGGCAGCAACTTGTGCTTTAGGACAACTTGAGTCACACATGGGGTAATACATCATACATCGTACATCATACATCATACATGTATTTCAGACTTATTTTTTTTCTCTTTTCCTCCATTAAGAGCCTGTTTCTTTTTGTCCCCTTGAAGTCAAAAAGTAACAATACCTTACCATAAACTGCTTCTTACTCTAAATCAAAACCTTTGGTTACATTATATGAGGTATGTTTTGTGATTCAGGAACTTTAGTGATGCTAAAGAGATACTAACAAGGGCACTTATAGTGACTGAAGAACGTTTTGGTTAGTATACATGTGTTCATAATCTACATGTGATTTAAGGTCAACTACTTCTTATGTGTATTTTGACTCTTATGCATTGCATATGTTGTAGGTTCTCATCATCCAAAGATTGGAATAATATTAACTTGCATAGCTCTCATGTTTAGGCACAAAGCAACAATGGAGCATTCTAGTTCCCTTATGGTCCAAGCGGTTAGAAATACTCAATAAAACACAATTCATTAAACATTTTATACTCAATAAACGCAATAAAACTGGTCAGTTCTTTCTATCTAAATCTCTCAGTATATTTATTTTATAACTTTTCATCTCATGGCAGATGACACATCAAACTATATCTTGTTTCAGTTTTGATTTGTATTTGTTTCTTTGACTTAGTTTGACTGGGAAGGAGATCTGCCCCTATCATTTGCACAAATAGATCTGGTAATTTATGAAATGCATGTTCGTGGATTTACAAGGCATGAGTCCAGTAAGACAGAGTCTCCTGGTACTTACCTTGGTGTAGTGGACAAACTTGATCATTTAAAGGTACATGCTCAATAAATCCATAGTTCATTTTTTCACCATCATTGCTATAACTATAAGGTTATATGTGTTTGAATGATTTCTCACTTTTACAAATCACAGAGCTAAAGTGTTAATTATTTAACCTTAAGTAAACTTGTAATAACATTCATAGACTATCTTGTTGTCCCTTTAGCGAGGATCAGTCACTGGAGAAATGGTATCTACTTTCATCATAAGCAGATGCTTAATTGTTGCAATCAACAACCCCAATCATCACATACTGAGAAGGGAATAGAAAATGACTTCCTATTAGCTCTTGTTATTTTATGCATTCAATATGTTCTTGCTATTTATAAACATTAAATCTTTGTTGTTTTTTTCAAGTTTTTTGCAGATATACAAGTGTTGTATTCTTCATTTCAATTGTTAGTTGTACTACTAATGATGGAAGCTGCTAATAAAAGAAATGGAAGAAGCGGCATGAAATAGATTTTTTGTATAAAACACAGAGTAGATTAGATGAATGCAAATTTATATATTGTAAGAAATAGAATTGTATGATAAAAAATTTTATGCAATGGATTGTATTTTTTGTATATGGTATTTTATTTCTATTATGAGACAATAAATGAAAATTTAATTTAAAAATTAATAAATATATACATATATATTTTTATAAACATTTAAATTTACGATACACAAAAATGTGTGTCATCTTCATTTATGACATGGTCTTTCTTGACAGGGCTTTTAATGATACACATTGCGTGTCATAAATGCGCGTCGTCTATAGACGACGCGCAAAAATGTGTCGTCTCTCGTTATGACAGGGTCTTCCTTGACACGCATTTGCGCGTCGTCTGAGCGTTTTACGACATGCGTTGCGCGTCGTAAAAGGCTGTTTTTCTAGTAGTGATTTCACATGATGTTATTAAAAAAGGTGGGCATAGGAAATAATATGTTATTTTGGAAATATCATTGGATTGGTAATTGTCTTCTCATGACTCAATTTATTTTTACTAGAAACCGAGTTGAATTGTAAAATTGATCAAAGATGTAATGTTCGTACTTGGGAATGGAATTGGAGACTTCCTATTGAAGGAGAGATTGTGAATTAACAGCCCAATTGAAGGACATGCTTCTTGGTTTCACTTTTCTCGGATTCTAGGGATAAATGGGGTTGGGACACAAGGGGCGTGGAAGAGTTTACACTATCGAAAGTTGGAAAGATAATTGATGATTCATCTCTTTAGGATGGTCCTATTACAGTTAGGTGGAACATGTACCTTCCACGGAAGGTGAATATTTTAAATTGGCATTGTTGATTAAATAAGTTGCCTACTCGTACTAATATTGGGCAAACCAGTTAACATTATTTCCATCATTTGTGCGATTTGTAACTCCGGTATGGAAGATGTTAATTATATATATATATAATATATATATATATATATATATATATATATATATATTATATATATATATATATATATTATGTGAACTAGCGGTAGAGATGTGGACATTCGTTGCAAAGTGGTGTGATATTATTATATTGAGTTGGTTGGTTTTGGAAGATGTAGTAAGTTGGATTGATGGTGTGAAGATTTCCAAAAGGAAGAGGGCAGCCTTAGAGTTGATCATTATGACTAAATAGTGGAATCTTTGGAATTTCAAGAATAGTATTATGTTCAAAGATCACTCTTCGAAGGAGTTCATTAATTGATAGTGTTATTCACTATTCTTATAATTGGGTTGTGTATCGTAATAGAAAAATAAGTATTAATAAGGGAGCCTAGTTATTAAACCTTAGAAGGTGGAATGAAAAATTCCGATGATTTCATGTCTACCATCCGATTCTTGATTCATGTAGTACTTTGTTTGACTTTATCGATCGCCTTCCTGGAATGCTAAAGGAATTAGTTTATTGTTGACGACATTGTTTGTACTACAATTTGGTATATTTGAAACGATAAACTTTTTGCGGGAAAAAATATGAGAAATGATGATATGGACATATATATGGTGGATTCAATAAAGGAGTTATTTATTTATTTATTTATTGTGGTTTTGTAATAGAAATAGTAAATGCTCTACAAATTGGATGTGTTGGTTACAATGCCCGTCTTACCTTTTGTAAATTTTTGTTCTTTTGCTCTAGTTTCTTGCTAAAGTCGTTTATTCTAATATATTTGGCTGATTATAAAAAAAAGCCTAATTTTGGCGATTTGTACGTTATGTTTTGTTAGCCTTTTGCTAACTTTTTAATGAAAAAATCAACTGTTAAGAAAAAGTTAATACTAATTGAAGACAATATATATATCACAAGAAAGAACTTTATCGTTTGACGGAAAACGAATATAACTCTGTCGTACTAGTGTTGTTGATTTTCATCTCCAACGTTCTTAACAAGGCTGAAACTTCGATGTTCGTTTTTGTGTTTTAGCTTATGTTATATCGAAGTTGATTCATTTCAAAGTCGGCCAACTTGAATTCACCATAGAATGTACAGGTATTTATTGCAAAGCTAATTTCGATAAGAAAAAAATGTATGCCGTCTCCATTTTTGATTGACCTCAGCATTATATTTTAGTGCGAATTGGCCGTTTCAAAAAAAAAAAAAAAAACTAACAGTCCATAGCCAATAACACTACAGAAAGTACAAACTTCAATCCTGTCTCTCCAAATACACAAGTCCAAAGCTCCGTTTTTGACAATTACTATTTATGAAAAACGCAATCAACTTCAACTATTTAAGCTGAATAGGAGAGGAACGAAAATATTGTACTCTATTTACAACAATAATGACCCAACTAAATCTTTCTTTCCTCTTGAACTTGTCTTTATTTGTGTTAATAGCACTAACTTGTGTGTCGGGAAAACATTACCGAGCAACCAAGTTAATTGCTAAAAATAGTTTTTTGACAGCAAAAGTTGATTCTGAAAGTATAAACGAGTCACAAGAGTATGAGGTTTATAACTACACACAAACACTGGATCACTTCAATTTTAACCCCGAAAGTTACACGACTTTTCAACAACGTTATGTGGTGAATAGTAAATATTGGGGTGGACCCACTAACAGTTCCCCGATCTTTCTTTATGTGGGTGCGGAGTCTGATATCATGGGAGATGTAGAATATAACGGGTTCGAGCACGTGATTGCTTCACGATTTAAAGGTCTTTTGGTCTACATTGAGGTATGGTTGTTTGTAATATTGCTATATCGGGTAGTAAATTAATCATTTCTGCATTAATGACTTCTATATTTGCAGCATCGTTATTATGGTACTTCCATGCCATTTGGGTCTTATGACGAAGCGTATAAAAATGCTAGCACTCTTGGATACTTTACTTCAGAGCAAGCTTTAGCAGATTACGCTCAAATAATCATTGATGTTAAAAGAAACATGTCAGCAGTACATTGTCCAGTCATAGCTATTGGAGCATCGTATGGTGGAAGTAAGGCCGTTATTTTTTAATTTGTTTTTCTCAATGATAGATAAAGTATAAATCAAATAAATGAGGTTTATTTATTTATTTATTTTTTCAAATTTAGTGCTTGCTTCGTGGTTCCGCTTGAAATATCCACATGCTGCTTACGGAGCATTGGCGGTTTCAGCTCCAATCCTCTATTTTATGGGCCTCACTCCTGAAAACGGTTATGCTTCTATTGTTTCAAAAGACTTCAATGTAAGTAAACACCAAAATATTTCATTCTATTCCTTAAATCATTGCCTACTATACGTGCCACAAATAATTAAGACAACTAAATTTGATGTGCAGAGTACAAGCACGAGTTGCTACAAAACCATAAGAGAATCTTGGTTTGAAATTGATAGAGTTGGTGCTCAACCTCAGGGCCTGTTGAATCTCTCCCAAACTTTCAACACATGCACGTATGTTACAATTCCAACATTTCTTATTATCATTCATCTCGAATGTAATTTGTTTTCTAAAATAATGATCGTGTTTTGAAGGCCTGTGAACACGACTAAAGTTCTAAAGTATTATTTGGAGATTATATACGACGTTATGGCTCAATATGATGATCCTACAGTTAGCTATTTACAAACATTTTGCAATGCAACGGATGCTGCTGGAGAACAAACTTACATCCTTGACAGAATCATGGCTGGATATCGTAGTGTAGCTGAAACAGGTTGCATAACTTTATTTGATATGGGATTCAACAAAAAATCCGGATGGGATTGGCAGGTATACAATCGAATAAGTGTTTTAAAATATGTAGATTTTCTAGGTGTTTATATGTGCAATTATGCATGTCTCTTTTCCTTTTGAAACGTTTTTGAGACCAAAATATTGTCACTAAATCTCTCCAATATCTCAAAATGAGACATGCGTTACCCAAAATGTATTAAATACTATCAAGCAAGTAGCAAAGGCGACACCAATAACCACCACCAAAATATTAAGTAACACATCATAAATATGACGATGACGTAGCTACCTACAAGACTTCAAACAAATTTTATATATAAGAACCTCTTTTTGTGACATTTAAACTATGGTCTGACTATTTCTTTTCATTACAAAGTCGTGTACAGAAATGGTAATGCCGATGGGACAAGGAGAAAATGATACGATGTTCCAAGCAGACCCTTTCAATTTGGGCGAATACACAAAGGAATGCCAACAAGTCTTTGGTGTCACCCCAAGACCTTATTGGGCTCCTATAGAATTCGGGGGTTATGTATGTCAATTATCAATTCAGTCGTTCCTTATATTGTTATTTGTAGTTTAACCATTTTTATATAATAAATCTTTATCTTATATTTGGACCATATATTGCTACTAGGGTATAAAAACTGTCCTTGAAAAGTTCGCAAGCAACATTATCTTCTCCAATGGTTTACGAGACCCATATAGTTCAGGAGGGTAAGTTTTATTTAACCTCATAGGCTTCATGTGACGCTAATACCTCGTTCAAATACTAACTTTTGTTTTTGTTGCAGTGTTCTTCAAAACATATCAGATACAGTTGTCGCTATTTATACACAAGAAGGTAAATTCTTTATGCATTATATATATTTGTTTCAAACAAAAAAAACATATAATAAGGTTATTCATTTCATATAACTATTTGGTTTAGTCCTGATAAATTTATTTATTTATTTATTTTTGTACGTTATCATGTGATTTAGGACACCATTGCTCGGATCTTTTAACTCCTATGACTACGGATCCGGACTGGTTAGTTGAACAGCGAAACAAAGAGATCAACATCATAGAAGGGTGGCTCTCAAAGTATACGTTCGCCAATGCTAACTAGCTCGCCCAAAAAGATTTACAATCATTAAAGATTTATCTAGAACAATTCTCTTATCCTTTATTGTTCTCTTATCATTTAAATGCGATGAAAACTTATTGAGATTTATGGTTATTAATGATTTAATGCATCAAGAATTGTGACACATACTCTTATGAATTAGTTAAGGATGGTTCCCGCCGTTCAAAAAAGGGATTTTTTTTTGAACCGGCAAATATATATATATATATATATATATATATATATATATATATATATATATATATATAAAATAAAAACCAACCTCTAGCAAGTGACTAGAGGAGGAAAAAGAAAAATACAAGAAGTAGACAACAGGTTACAAGCAAAGCAGCGGACAACTACACCAAGCTAACCAATCAATGTTGACATTTTTACCCCTATTTTTAATCCACAAGTAAGTGGTAGATTTGATAATGTCTACTAGATTAGAAGGAGGTAACCGGTTGTTGTTGAAGACTTTATCATTCCTTGCCTTCCATATACTCCAAAACATGTCATAGCAAATTCCCATAATCAGTCTCCTTTTTTTCGGGCAATCGAAACGTGACATTGCGAATGTGATCATGTCGTTTATTGTGTTGAATTCGTCCGTGGGAACGCCACACCATTGAAAGACCCCATCCTTGACCATTTTCGCATATTTGCATCCAATCAGAGCATGGTCAGAACATTCAGTAACTTCCTCGCATTGTTTGCAAATTGGACTTTCCAAAACTACCCCTCTAGATAAGAGGCCAGCAGCAGTAGGTATTTTGCCCAGTCTGGCCCTCCATATGAAACAATTAACTTTTAATGGGACCTCCTTTAGCCACGTGAATCGTCCAATGTTTATACTGGGGTTGAGCTCCAATTTTTTCCGAAGGGCATTCACTAAATAATTTCCGTCCTCCGTGAAAGGACATTTCCATTCAACACCGATGGGGGATAATTCTTTGGATATCACCGAAACTATTGGAATGTCTTTATTTTGAAGATGTTTGCCAATACTTGCGATATTTTTCCAAGCACCTGGTATATATTTACTGGCATAACATGAATCAGGTTTATTTTTTAGATTATGCATGCAAATTATAGCATTGGCCCAAAGAGCTGCTTTTTCGGTCCTCAGTCTCCACCACCACTTCATAATAAGAGAAATATTTAACGATTTAAGACTAATGACCCCGAGTCCATCGTCTTCTTTAGAGACTGTCACTTTGTCCCAAGAGACCCAATGAATGCATTTTTTTTCCTCTGAACCTCCCCATAAAAACGTCCTGCGAATGCTTTCTAACTTTTCTATTACTCCATCCGGGGCAACGAAGATTGAGAGGTAGTAGCTTGGTAAATTTCCCAATACCGATTGTATTAATGTTAGTCTGCCACCGAACGATAGCGTCTTGGCTTTCCAAGTGGACAACTTTTTCTGAAATCTCTCTATCACCGGTTTCCAATTTTTGGATATGTTCATGTTCGCCCCGATAGGAACCCCGAGGTAAGTGAATGGGAGAGATGATGGTTTACAACCGAGGTTCGCCGCCCAACTGGAACCTTCATGCATGTCCACGCCTATACCGAACACCTTGGACTTATCATAGTTTACTTTGAGGCCCGAAGATACGTGAAAGCAATTTAGAATCCTAGCGAGGTTTTTTATGTTCCTTTTAGACCATTCATCGACGAACAATGCGTCATCCGCGTATAGTAGGTGAGATATGGTTGGTCCCTCGTGTGGTAGAGCTAATCCATGAAAGACACCGATCTCGCAAGCGGCCTTCATGGCTGCACTTAGTCCCTCCATTGCAATGATGAAGAGAAACGGTGAAAGTGGGTCCCCCTGCCGAACCCCTTTTGAGATTGAGAATTCCTTTGTCGGGTTCCCATTAACCAAGACGGATGCTTTGGATGATTCAAGGCAGCCTTTGATCCATGTCCTCCATTTGTCACCAAACCCCATGATTTTTAAGTTTGATTCGAGGAATCCCCAGTTTATGGAGTCGAATACTTTGTCGAAATCCACTTTGAAGAGCAAGGCTTTCTTTTTCTCCTTCTTTGCCCAAGAACATATCTCATTCACTAATAACGGCCCGTCAAGAATACTCCTGCCTTCTACATACGCAGATTGCACATCGTCTATGCATTTTCCCATCACTTTGCTTATTCTACGAGCTAGGATCTTGGCGATGATTTTGTACAGGGAACTGATGAGGCTAATGGGCCTGAAATCACGAAGCGAGGTGGGGTCTTTGATCTTAGGAATAAGTGAGATGTATGATGAATTGCACGCCTTATCAAGTTTCCCGTGATATTCGAAGAATTTGACTACAACAACGATGTCTCCCAGCAACACGTTCCAATACTTCTTTATGAATTTGAATGTATATCCATCAGGTCCCGGTGCTTTCTCGCTACCACATGCCCACACCGCCGCTTTGATTTCCTCCAGTGAGATGGGTGCTTCAAGCATTTGGCAATCAGCTGGGGTGATCCGTTTGAAATGATTGTTATTTAATCTCGGCCGAGAAGGCCATTTTTCTTTGAATTTGTTTGCAAAGAAATTAAAGGCTTCGAGTTTGATTTTCTCAGGATCAGTACACCATGAGCCGTTAATCATGAGCCCGTCTATCCCATTTTTCCGGTTGTTATTGTTTACCTGACCGTGGAAGAAGCGGGTATTTTCGTCCCCGTCGACAACCCATTTGATCCGTGATTTTTGCTTCATGTCCACAGCTTTAAGTTTTTCCAGTTCAGAGATTTTCTTGAAGTAGTCCCTTCTTTTCACCGCCTCTTCTAAACTAAGTGCTCTTGATTCAACTTCATGGTCTAAACGCTCTACCTCCTTTTTGTACTTGATCAGGGCAGCTTCTTCTTTTGGATATTCTGTTGCTCTCCATTTCTTTAGTGCGTCTTTGACGTGTCTCAATTTTTGCAGCCATGTATTGATCGGGGGTTCCGTATCCTATGAAGTTATTCCAGCCAGTTATGAACGCCTTCTCAAAACCGTCTCTCAGAAGCCATTAATTGAAGAGCTTAAATGGAGGGGGGCCAAAGTAAGGGGTAATGGTTGAGAGTAATATGGGACTATGATCAGATAACTCTCTAGGTAGTGTAGTTACAGTCGTTTTTGGAGCTATATCTAAAAATTCCGGGCAAATCAGGAACCGGTCTAATTTGCTTAGTTTGATCCCTTCACATCGACAACATGTGAATCTGTATCCCCCCAGAGACCAACTTCAAGAATGAATTTGTTGAAATCTTTAGCTGTGTGAGGGCAGAAGATTGAATTGAACCTCTCATCAGGCCTTCGAACAGCATTAAAGTCGCCCATCATGATCCACACGCCTTCTTTAGTTTTTTTTGATTTCTTTAAGTTCTTCCCATAGCATAGCTTTCTAACGAGTTGGTTGGGGTCCGTAGACATTGGTGAGTATGAAGGGTGTGGAAATGCCCACCCATGATCCTATGTTGATGAGATAATTGCGAGAGGAGATAACTTCAGAAGAGGTGAAAAACTTGGTATCCCACAGATTTAATAATCCGCCAGACCTTCCTGTAGAGTTTGTGTAACTGACTCTGAATCCAGTGTGGCCCCAGCAAGTCACTGCGTCTATTTGCTTGGCGTCTGGTTGTTGTGTTTCTTGAATTGCGATAAAAGATACTTTGTGTTTCCTTTTTAATCTTCTGATCCATGCCGCCTTATGTACACCACCTATTGAGGGAAAGAAAATTCATTGAGGGGAATTATTTACACCTGATACTCCAAGTATTTCTGCTAGGATTCTGTTGTTGGAGTCAATCTCGAACCCAATAAGAGAACCCACGGCTGCTGTTGCTTCAAGTTCTGGCATTTCAACATCTAGGTTAACAGATTCGTTTTTCTGTACACCATTGGGGAAGGAGGCTATGGGTGGGTCCTAATTATCATCGTTGTCTAGTATTAGAGGGAAAGTTGGGAGTAGCTGTAGGTTTTCTCCAGAAGGTGATCTATGAAGACGACGCCTCTTTAGGGAAGAGCAAAACATGTCGCTATGTTGACCGTCTTCTGAGTTTTGTTGACACGTTGGATGTGGAGGAGATACAAATGATGGGAATGGGCCAAAACACCCGGATTGGGCTAATACAGCTGGGAAGGAAACGTTCCGAGATGGGCCCAAGTTTTGTGGGTCGAGTGGTATCGGGTCTATCAGGTTGATGGGGGCGAAAACTCGATCGAAGTTGTCAGTATCTTTTGAGTTATCTCGGGACTTGTTTGGCGTTTCATCTCCCCCTTTCTCGATACCTGTTCCCTGCATTTCTGATTCGCATGTCTTCGCCGGCGTTTCGGATCGCGCCTCATCTCCGGCCGCCATGGTCCTCGGCTGTGAGCCATCACCGCCAATGCTTGGGGGATTGGATGTTTTGTTCTGGGCGATTTCTCCTTCTTCCATGTCGTTAATCCATGTATCCGATACACCGTCTTCATCTACGTTGGAATCTGAGTTATCGAAATCGCTTATAATTGAACCATCTTTGATGTCCATATCCACGTCTTCGTATGATTGTTCTTCATTGTCGAATTTAAAAGGAAACCATGGTTCGTCTTCATATTCTATGATTCCCACGTGAAAGGGCTGTCCCTCGGCTTCCACTAGAATTTCCTCATTGAATTTTGTTAGCTTGTCTGTGAGTATAGCAAGCTTCACCATTGAGAGATCTACACGATTCGTAATGTGGTCCGGAGGCACCACGATCTTCCCGAATTTTCCCACTATGGCTGAGAAGTTGGAATTGTTCCATAGTTTGAGGGGCAGACCAACAATCCTTATCCATGTTACCCGTTCGAATTTATTGATTGCCGATGATCTCATCTTCAACCATTTGAAGGTGTCAATCCAGTTTCTTTCATTCTCTAGAAATTGTCTTGCGTCTACAGTAGATTCGAAGCTGATTAATGCGAGCATCCCCCCTATATACTTTACTGAAGGGCTATGTTCACTGTGAATGGAGATGAGTACCGGCATGTGACCAAGATGTTCCAAAGATTTGGCTTCCCCAATGAGTGTGGATTTTTTAACCAACGATCCATGTCTTCATCCACATGTAATCTAACAGGTGTAGATGATTGGTGATTTTCTGGATTATTCTTAGTAACTTTCCATGAGTTTTGGTTTCCTGTGACTTGGGTGTATGTTCGGTGGTCTATGTGCCCACCGCCATGGGATCTGTTCTTAATCTGGGTTGAAGCTGCGGTTCGTGTTCTAGGATTGGTCCTCCCAGGGGGTGGTGGCTGTGTTTTCCGACTGTGTCTAGCGATATTGATCTCGAGCTTTTTATTTCTGCAGGCTACTCCGTTCAGCTTGGATTCCAAATCTTTTGCGTCCGGTACCCCGGTGAATCTTATGAAGCCGTAATTTTTTCCATTCTTTCCTTTGTGCCCGCCGAAGTAGATGTCTGATAGTTTTCCCCAACGTGAGAAGATCTTCCTGAATTCGAACCTCATTGCTCCGTTTGGTATATTAGTGACGAAGAAGGTGATCTCTTCCGTCGTGTTGCCTGCGGTTGCCGTCGTTTTTCGCCTCCTTACTTCCGTCCATCCGTGTTCTTCCAGTATATGCATCTCCGCTACTTATACAGTGTCAAAAAAAGAACCGTCTAGTAATGGTTGCTAATTTATTATCTTTATCATATATTATCTGGATCGTATAAACTAAAAGCTAGGGGTGAGCATGGTGCGGTTTGTTGCGGTTTTAGGGCCAAACCGAACCGCAAACGACAAGGTGCTGTTTTTGAATTCTAGAAACCGTTGGGTGCGGTTTTTTAATGGTTCGGTTTTGCGGTTTTTGAGTGCGCTTTCGGTTTGTACCGGTTTGGTTTCGGTTTTAAACTGTGTCAAACATATGGTGCAGTTTTTTATGTCCACCTGTACGATTTTTTTAACTGTGGTGTTCATGTGAAGATTTATGATTGTATGACATGTTGTCATTTCATTTCTTCACATTTAGAAGATGTAATTTTGAGTTTTTATGTTGTTTACTTGATCACTTCATTTGCAACCCATATTTCCAAACTCATTTTTTTAAATCAATTTGTGCTTAGAAGTTACAAACTTGCAAGTTGTAGCCCATATAGTGTTTACACTTTACACATTAATCATTAAGTCACAAATACAAAGTCACATATTAAACCTAATACGTAATTACTAATTACCGTCAAGTTCAATATATAATATATGTATAAATTAGAATTTATTAGTTTTTTAAATAATATGTATAATTGTATAATATAAATTAGCGATTTATTTTTTTAATAATAAGCTTGCGGTGCGGTTCGGTTTTGGTGGTCCGGTTTCTAGATAAAAACCGCATCGCACCAATAAATTCGGTTTTTCAAAAAAATAAACTGCACCATCGGTTTTTGCATCGGTTTCGGTTTTTCGGTTGCGGTTTATTGTTGTTTTTTCGATTTTTTTTATTTGTTCGTTTTTTGCTAAACCCCTACTAAAAGCAACTCATTGTAAAGAAAAAAAAATCAGATTTATTTATATTTTTTTAGAATAGCAAAAATATTATTAATGAAACCAACAAGAAATTAGTAAAAAAACTAAAAGATTATGGACAACCTTTAAAACCAAAAAATTATGGCATTTTTTTCCTAATATGGACAGTATTCCTACTAGAAATAAAACAATAGGAACTAACAATACCTGCCCCAACATGGGGTATATTAGTATATATGTAATTTTTTTCTATACGTATTAAGGTAAAAATGTTGTAAGTTGTCTAAATGTATTTGGAACGTCAAATTAGAGAAGACAATGGGGACGGGGAATACATTGGACGCTAATCCCATCTCTATCCTAAATCCTCGTTTCAATTCTCATCATTATCTCCATCTCCATCGGGGACTAGGATCCCCAACGGAGAATTGTGCACACTCCAGCCTTTTGTTGGAGTGTCACTTTTTCTTTTGGGTTAGTGCTTCTAATTTCGGATCTCACCTTGAGGCTTAAATAATCTTTATTTGTTGGTTTATGGGGTCCTCTCATTCCTTTGAGAGCGGGGCTTGGTCGTGTCCTTTTCGGGGGGTTTCACTGTTGCCCAAATGGTATTGTTGGAAGTAAAGGGATTTCCCGTATGATATCTCATCTCAAGAGCTTACACCTCCATACAGTTGAATGCAGAGCTGTGTTACGGGAGGCTATTACTTCTGACATTGGATTGTTTATGTATGTGGCAGCAACTTTGAAGGAGTTTGGTCAATGGATATGTGGGGATTGCATGAAGCTTCATGCCCTGAGTCGTTCATGTCACCACCCGGGTGGCTTGATTAAGTTTATTGACGGGGCTGATGACATGAGCATGCATATTGTTGGCATTCCAAAGCCGATACCCAATGAACCGGAAGCCGACCTCAATGATGGGTTGGTGATGGATGCTCAACTACTTGATCGTGTTTTTAAGCTGCCTATCACCACTGTCAAAAGCATCCCTCATAACTGTCGTATGGCTTTCTCTCAGGCTTTGAAAGCAGCCCTTTCCAAGGTGGTTGCTCATACCGGATCCGTTGAAGTGTGGGTTGCTTTGTTAATTCTTCCTAGGTGTACTCTTTAGGTGTTCAGGCCCAAGAATAGGCAAGAAAGTAGGTCTGGCAACAGGAAGTCTTTGCAACATCGTAATATCTTGAGCGCTTTAGCTACTTGGGGGACTGAAGACGGTATCGCCAAGCTAGTTAAAAACTTAGTTGACAAGTAGCATTTATTTTAATTGTTTACCGTTCCCTGTGTTCGATACCCTACTTACCTGAACTAAACTGCTAATCGATAGGTACACTGCCTTTCGTGTGTTTGTCTTTGTGTTTAAGTTAGTAGGATTAAAACTAGTTCGTTTAACACACATCAAGTTTTTGGAACTTGATGTGTGTTAAACGAACTAGTTTTAATCCTTCTAACTTAAACACAAAGACAAACACACGAAAGGCAGTATACCTATCGATTAGCAGTTTAGTTCAGGTAAGTAGGGTATCGAACACAGGGAACGGTAAACAATTAAAATAAATGCTAATATTATCTAAATAAAACAAGTAATAGAAAGGGGGTTTTCTCTAGTTTTGAAAGACTAGAAACTTAAACAATTAACTAAAACTTAAACTAAGAAACTAAGAACTAAGCAAATAAAAATCAACTAAATTCAATAATTAAGGAGACTTCTGTTTAGGTTCGAATCATTTATTCCTATGGTTGATTTTATGACAAGTGCAATGGATTAATTAGCATTGGCTACCGATAAGTGTGATTAGGTTCACGTTCGCTATTACTAATCCTTAGAAAACAAATTAATTCAAGTAGTGATCAGTTGATTAAACCAATGAGTTTCCTAGTTTATTGATTCGGGTTAAGTAAGATCTGTAATTAGCTAATCAAATTGGTGATTCAATTAACCTCTTGTTGATGGTGTATCACACAAGCTCACACATTAATTTACCTATCTTCTAGTTAATTCTAGTTTCACATTCGTTATTCCTAGACATATAACTATATGGTCACATAAATCATATGAGATTAGCAATTAAGAGATGTTCATACAACTTAATTACTAATTTATTAACAGAAAATAGTTATTGTTAACATATAAGGTTCTTTAACAAGCTTAACAAAACAATATTACCAAATAAAATTAATCCTAACCATAAAAATCATACCATAATCATAAAGTCATCTATCCTAAACAGAAGATAATAGTTTTAGCTCATGATTACAGTAAAACTAAGATCAAAAACGAAATCAAACAACTCAAACATAGTTCAACTTAAAGAATAAGTAAGAATGGACTTGAATTTGCCTTGATTCTTCTCAAAATTGGATCTAGGGTTGATTCTCTGGCTTCCAGCACCTTAGCAGGTCTTCTAATCGCAGCTTTACCCCCAAGGGTTTCTCTCCATGCCAGGGTATCGATCTGAAAGTCCCTTTATATAGATATTCACAAAACAGAGGTGACTCGTCGAGTCCAGTGACCGACTCGGCGAGTCCGTCACTTAAAACCCGTGCACGGCAAGTCAGCGCGTCCAGAATCGCGAAAGTTCGACGTGACTCGTCGAGTTGATGGCCTACTCGTCGAGTCCCTTTGGAATCAGCATTTTCGCAAAACACGAAAGTCGTCCGAAATTGTGTCTAGTGTTCAGAACATTTTGAATCTAGTCAATCGGAGTTACGGTTCATGAGATATGGCTAAAACACTGACGAGGGGTCAAGCTGTCCAGCAACATCCTTCTTTCTTCAAAATCCAAGATCCAAGCTTCCAATCGCTAGTTCCCCTTCCTTTTCCACCCGAGCATGTCATTGTTGCTGAAAAATGAAATTCTAAACTAATTAAACACCTTTTGTTCATTAAATGAGACAAAAACAACATAAAGTATTAAGATAATGCATGAATTTTATAACTAAATATGCCCATATCAAAATACCCCACACTTGACTTTTGCTTGCCCCCAAGCAAAACTGAATTTTAGCATACTAGCATTGCTTAAAATAATTCCAATCAAACCCAACCATTATGCCAAGACCGCAACGCTTTTTTTTTTTCATCTTCACTTTAACTGCTCTAAAATTCTTACAACTTTTCTTGTAATTCTCTCTTTTTTTTACATGTATCTCACTTTTTTTTTTCACTCAAAACCTACATGCTTAAGCAAGGGTGCTCAACTTCAACCTTTATTGGTTAAAGTAGTAGTCTTCCTGGATACATTTCAAGTACACGATGCTAAACATATTGCGTCCCTCAAACTAAGCGAGGTTGTGTTTTTGTCCCATGATTTCACTAGAATAAAGGAGGCCACAAATGCACTATAACGTATATAGGCTCAACTAAACATTTGGGTCTTCATAGAATCATCAAATATAATACTAGCATGATCCCTAATTGCTTTACCAAAATTTTCTAAATTAGCCCTAGCAATTTTAATGCAAAAATTTCAAAAATTTCAAAATTTAGCTAGAATTTTAACTAATGTAACCAACCCCCTACCCCACACTTAATTTATGCAATGTCCCCCATTGCATATTATGCATGATAAAGAACAATAAAATAAAGAGGGAATTGGAACAAACTCCCCTGGGATAGTAGTTGCGAGGGTGATCTTTCTTCTTTTGAGCTCCATCTTCAGATGACTTTGGCATGGGAACAGCTCATCCATGCCTTTGGCGTCAAAATCTCGTGTGGTTGACAGCTCTAAATATATAGGAAAAAGCTTCTTGGAAACGCTCGGAAAATGATCTTCAAAAATATAGACAATGCCAGCGTCGAATGAAATCAAATCGTCGACTCAAAGATAAAAGAATGAGCAACTCGCTGAGTTTTATGTGGAGACTCGCCGAGTTGAATCGCTATACTCGCAGAAATCGTGATTTTTCGCTTGGACTCGTCGAGTTAGTATTATGCACTCGACGAGTTCTTGACTCTGATCAGGTCTTTTCTTCTTTCTGCCTCAGCTTTAATTTTGTGTTCAAGGAGAGTATCAAGGTAATACAATTCCTCATTTTCTTCAGGGACGAGACTCTTTTTAATCAAATATAAACATCGGACTCAACATATCGCTCAAAGTCTTCTAATCTTCTCGTAAATG